ACTGCACAAATGACAAAAGCTTTCCCACTGGTTCCGGAACATGCAGGAAGGGTAACTTCCTTTTGCAGTAGTCTGTCCTGCAAAATGTTTGCGTAAGTTCTGTTTTCGTATTTCAAGTCTAGCTTGTATTTTGTGATATTGGTAATTTACACACATGAATTCCTTCAGAGAAATAGGTAAATACATGTAAAGAAAAGCAAACTGTCTTTATCTAAGCTATGGTTTTAGATGTGAGCAAGCAATTTTTTCTTTTTTTTTTTTAAATTTAGGGAAGCAGTGATTTGCCTTCATGTGCTTCACACAAATGGACTTCTAAGTATATAAAAATATGTCAAACAAAGTATTTCCTATCTTGTAAAAAGGCTCTTTTTGTCCTTTCCAATATGACTGAGAAGTCTTAAGAATACCTGCAAGTAGAAGTTAAGGTCTCAATAATCCAGTAAAGTTTATTATTCTCATTATACTGACCAAACTCACAAGATCCTTCCACTGTCTTGACACTTAAGTCACATTTATTGAATCATATTACCATGTCAGGTGGCCAGGTGACTGTTTATTAATTATGCCTAAGTTTCTAGTACAGTCTATGTTGTACTTCTACTATTATTCAGGAAACGGCTCAGGGAACTGTCTAAGGACATGAGAGAAGAACTTCTCTTCACTCACACTTAACTCAGTGCAATGCCCAGGTGGATCCTAAGACTGAGTTTTGCCTGAGTAGCGCCATTGACAGAATGTTCTAGCCTGACAATCATATGATAAACTGGTAACTCTTAGACTGCCAAGGAATCACAGGCCATAGTTTAGCAACTGCTTTTGAAAAGATGTTGAGGTCCTTTGGGTACAGATTGCCTGTGAAGCAGAAGTAACGTCCTGTAACTCAGAGTTAATCTCAATGGGACCTGCCATTGAAATATGAAGACCCTGCCCCTTATTCAGGTTTCTCCTTGGAAAAAAGACACGTACAGCTCTGACCATGGATAACTGGAGAGAATGGCACTTAAGAGACAGCAGAACTCAAAGGTGGGAAGCAAAGATTATGGTGCAGGCTTACCACACACCTGCATGTTGGTCCTACTTACAAAGTATTCCCAGCTCACTTTGGGATTGTATCTTCAAAAATTCTCATTAGAGATTTAATCTGAAGGGACAAATAGGGTTTTTAGGATTTAAAGCTTAAGGGACATCAGCACCTTTGTCTCCTCTCCACCTGTCCCATCCTGTCCCCCCCCTCCAGGGTTCTGCATAAAGATTTTTAACGTTTCATTCAATTCTTTTATTTAATCAACTCCTTCTGCTTTTCCAGATATCATGACCTGCCCGGGGTCACTGTATGGCACAGATCTGCATCTACAGTCATTAGAAGATGTAGTTTCCGCCTTACATGACAACCAAGAACCAGATGGGTGGCCGCTCACTCACCCCCCCACACATACACTGTAGGGAGGACAGCCTGTCATTCTGCCGTGGGTTGCAGGGTAACTTCTACTTGGACACCTTCTTCCCCCTTCTTCCTCATCAACTTCAGGATCTTCACCCCAACACCTCTCTTTCCAGCAAAGCTCTTCACTGCTTGCTCTCTCCTCAGGTCTTAACGGCAGCTTGTTCAGATGTTCATGGCAGAGGCACATCCGCTGTCTTTCTAGCCACTCAGCTTTGGCCACCTGAGCCTGGGGAGCAAACTTTTAGTAGCTTCTTACACTGGAGCCACTCTTGGGTCCCCTCCCCTGCTACCAAAACCTTGCCAGCACCAAACCAGCACAGACAACAGTGATGCAACTTAAAATGGCAATGAAAATAAATTATCCAGTATTTAAACCAGTTCTCTTTCCTGTTAATTTTTTTGGAAATCACTCCCAACTAAATCACAAGCATAAAACATCTGGTTATCCTGTCTGCAGTTACCACAATAATTGTAGTAATGTTATTTTAAATAAATTTTTGAAATAACTATCAAAGATTTAAGACCATCCTATTCTTCTTCCTATACTATTTCAAGGATATGTGTCTTAGATTACATATAGAGAAGAACACTTGTGACAGATGCAAAGTTGGGGTGTTTTATAGATAAGCCTGAAAATTCTTAAGAATATCACTATTCACCCTCTAACCTAAAAGAGATTCAAGCCTTTCCTAAGTTATTAATAATGAAATTTAAAACAGATCTGGGTGTTCATCTTGCTTTTTCTTCTTAATTGCTGTACTGAGTAGGAAATAGCTGGCATAAAACTAACACACAGTATTCAGTTCAACCCATTCTACAGATTATCAATGGGTGATATAATAGGGACACAATCCTTTCTAAAAGAATGATGTGTATGTTGTTCCTCTGCAGCATTTGTTACTTCTACTTCCAGTACAAACATCAAAATTCTAACCTCTATATTGCATTACTTCTAAGAACCAGATCTTCTCATGCAAATGTGTTGCCAATTTTGAATGTCTGTTACCTGCATAGTTAAGGAACATGGCATTTCATTAACTTAATGGATTTCAAAACCAAAAAATGTTGGATATACACACTATAGCTTACTGTCTTTTCCAACATGTAATCCTGTTACATAAAACAGCATTTACTTTAGGCAGTATAACCTGGATAAATATAGAATAGTGATCCCAGACCTATCAGTCATAAAAGATTATGGCACCTATTTTTTACACTCAAAAAATTACATTTTACAGATAAAAGTTGATGAAAACACAAAAGTATGGGATTGCTATAAGATGCCTTTGGAAAAAAAAAGTATATATATGTATGCTACTGTTTATATAACTCACAGTATTCCTTTAATTGTTACTAACAAGAACATGTAAATTAAAAGATTTAATCCCTATCAAGCAAGTTATGGGCACTAGAATGTTGATACATAATAAATTCTATTTATGCATCAGTTGCTATAAATGAAAAAAAAACACCACAAAAACAAAAACTCTGTAAACAAGAGCTTTCATTATGCAGCCTAATCTTCATTTAGATTCTAATCTGTAAGCATTTGAGGTTTTAAAGAAAACTGCATACTAATGACAGAAACCAGAGGGAAGGAAGATGAATACCAGGACTAATATTTCCAAAACGTTACTGGTAAAATGCTCATGATCTCATACATGTGTTTCAATGTCAAAAATAAGGATATAAGTTGCACTTTAACAATTTTGTGTTTCCACTGATAAAATTATATCAGTAGGAGTGTGAAACCTTTTTACATTTAATTAA